AATAATGATAATAATAATAACAACGGCAGGCAGGTTTACTATGTAATTGTGGTATTATAGGAAAAAAAAGTTCCAGACAATGAGATTCCCCACAAGTAAATTCATAATTACCGTAAAGACACACGTACAGTACAGTAACACTTGCAGTATAATGTATCAGAATATGCAAAGCTAAATTTAAACTATCATATCACAATTCCTATTAAAAATCATTAAGATCACTGTTAGCCTCACTTCAACATATTCAATATAGCCGTAACAAATAGAATGAATTTCAGTTCAGTTCATTGCCATCTGTTGACATTTTGGGACAGACTGATGAACGAACAGACCCTATCACTGTTTTATATTTTGTGGTATAAAACGAAATTAAACTTTCTTGAGTTCGCAGATTTTCCCCACCCTTCCTTTCAGACAAATTACATATTCCATGACAATAACTTCAGATACGAATTGGTTGATGTGGGAACCTAACTCTATACCTTCACCGCAACTCACCAAGGTTCTGTATCACACGAAAGAAAAAGTGTTATATTCAATGAAATAAATGTTCTACCCGAGATCGACAATCCTTACTATTTAAGTCAATTATTTCCCACACACAGCTGTTATTACTTTTTTTAAACAATAATATAAGACTTAAACCAGCGTCTGTGTTTTTGTTAAGTCAGGGATACGCAACTTGTGTACAATTCACTCATTATAGCATTAAACCGGATTTATCCCTTTAAAGACGATAATTTAAAGTATAATCCTTAAAAGTTTAAACCTTCGTCCTTAAAAGGTTAACCAAACTGGCCTAATATGTGGATTTTACGTCAGGTTGGTTAGGTTTGAATTCTATTTCGAATCTACGGGTTACTTAGGAGTCGTATACAGGTACAGACCATCTCGACCCCGTGTGTGTTATAGGCGTGTATGCTATGACTAATCGTCTCAAGTAAAAATAAACTCAAGAGCTGGATTCCTATTTTAAGTTTCATTTTATTACGGTTCGGTTAAATCAGGTGAGTTTAACTTGGATTCAGGTTAAATTGTGTTAGGTTTATAATATTCCTACAATAATGAATTTCCCCCCACCACAGTATTCACATTTTCTGGTTAAGGTTAAAGAAACATTCTCAAGCCGGACCCTAGCTGTGTAACCACATCCTCAATGGAAAGTGGGCGAGCATTAATCTGGTAGAGTGAGGGACAACGGAACAGACCACATCCTCACGGGATTCACCCATTAGTACAGTCAAATTATAATGCCAACAAACTCACCCAAAATAAAACATTTTATATGCAAGAAATAACACTTACTCTCTATTCATGATATTGTTTATTGTTGAAAAATATATCTAACTGCTTATTACACCTGGACGTGATAAGGTCTGAAATGAACAGACTACGTGCAGTGAGGTTTGAACTGAATAGATAATTGGGTGAGGCGTAGCGTTAAGTAGATCAGCTCGGACAGGATACGAAGAAATCATGTTACTTTTTTGACGGTGGCTAAAGTGGATAAATTGCAATATCAGAACATCAACTAGTTGGAGATATCGTGTAGCAGATTGACGTTGTGATATCTGAATACTTAAAACTTCGTATACTTTTTTCCACTGAAGATGAATAAACATTTTGATATATTAGATAAGGTAGAATCACTATGGGGAATTTTCACGTCACTCAGACAGCCATCCCCGTATGGTTACTTATGTGAGCCAGTTAGACTAGTCATTATATCTCCAAGTATGGGGAGAAAAAATAAAGAACGTGCGAACATTTACGAATTCAGGCCAGATGGAAGATTTGCCACTGACCGCACACATTCCTCCTCCTCTCGACAATAGGTGTGTGCCCCGTGTAATGGAGGAGAAAAATAGTTCCTTCAGAATTAGGATATGGTTAGGTTAGGTTAAATCAATAGAAAGGTATCATTAACAAGGACACATTAAGTATCATTCACCTGGCGGCACAGAACGAGAGGAGCTTTGTCTGTGGTTACTCTTGAGTGGTGAGAGGAACTCAATACAGTATCTATTATCAGAAACAAATATGGCTGTGACGTAACGATTTTAGTAATCCCTAATCCAATCCAATCAGAATGTATAATCTCCAAAAGCCCATCTCAATTTGTAATCTATAAAATCCAAACTTAATTCTTAACATACAGTACAAAATCCAATCTAGAATAATAGGCACTGTCAACAACCACAACCATCATTACTAGCCAGCCTCCTCCTCTACATGTAAGCCAATCGTCATGCTTTTATTTATCTTTCGGGTGTCACCTTATTCACAGCACAGACTAAACTATAAATACCTGAGTATTATCTGTATTGTAGCTTGTATGATATCAAGCGTAAGTGGTTGGTGTCTAGTAACCCTGGTAGTCGAACCTCCTAAAACCAGTTTGTATTAGCTTAATGAAATAACCTGGGATATTTACAATTCTCCTCCTGCACACACACACTGGCCTACTTCCAGCTCTCGTTAGTGGCATTCTCTTTCATCTCACGGCTCAACTAAATTGGATTCGTCACGGACAATACAAGACCGACTCGACTTCCTTTCACTCTATTCACAATTTCGATTCATGTTAGAAATATAAAAGATACGACTTAAGACACACATGGGGGAAAACATAGGTCTATGTTATCTAAGAGTGATTTAACCTAAAGTAAGTCTATTTCCTAGTCACACCAATCCTATAGTTCATAAGACTAACTTGTTGATTAGGGGCAGTGTGACTTGTGACTTGTGGTAATTCTATCAAATATAAATTACTAGCAATGGCAACACCTACATGCTACATACATAAATAACTACTATTAATATATACAATGAACAAACTTAACACAATGTAGAATAAGATCTAAATGTTTACCTACGATAATCAAGAAACTTTAAAAACAACAGGAGTTTATTATCATAATCATGAGCAAATTGTGAAATCCGTAACTACAAATTCTTCTTTGTAGGGAACTAAGAATGGGACTCTACATAGGCATTTTATACACAACAAACCCTTGATTTCCATTGTGATAACGACCCTGGAGAAGGAATGTGAAGTGAACTGTGTAAGTCGAAGGTATAATTAGCAATAAATCCCCCAGAAATGAGCTCCTTGACTTCCAAATAGTGTTAAATCTTCCACGTACATCTCACTTTTGTATGGAGGGTTTGATGATGCTTCGATGCTTCCTCTCCACCTACCTCACGCCGATCACATTACATAACCCTCCTAGCCAAACAGCTCATTGAATATGGGTACATGAGCTGCGAGAAGGTTATTTTCTACAGTGTGATAAGTTCTTGCTTATATCGGCCCTAGTATGCCATAGTCCTAATATGCCTCAACCTTATTGTTAGGAATGGGGCATGGTACTGAAGGGACCCTAAATGGAGAGTAAAGTCTAAGTTAAGACCTAATGTGATAAGGATTCTTTTGACCACTCCCAACTATAAGCTGTGTGTCAATGATATCAATTCACGAACACAAAAACACATAAAAAATCTAATGAATGTAAGTCATACCTGTCTTTATCGAGGTGTGTCCATGATCATTAGTAATGCCATGCTATACAACCTTGGGATCTATGTAATATGTGTGTTAAGTTTCAGTTCTCTAACTACTTCCGTTTTTGGAGCTATGGCTGGAACAGACACGCGAGTAGGGAGAGAACCTGACTACAAGAGAGTAGTTAAGGTGAGGTAGCTTTTAGCCCATCATGGTTCAGTGGATAAACTGCCTACCTGCATTTAGTTTGTAAGTATTTAGACTTAAGTTTCTATTCAATTTTGCGAAAGGAAAGGAAAGACCTCACAATCACAAGAACATTCAACAATGCAGTGGGTCACTAAAACAAGATCCATCACCTACAACATACACATCTGGACGCTCTTGAAACAGGCTACTGTAATTGGTAGTGACAACTCAGTTGAATGGGCTACTATACCATACATTATATTTTCATTTCAAGTACAGTATATAGACATGTAACCTTATCTTTAACTATTTAATTAAAATTATTCCCATTCCAGAGTAATATTGACATTACAAGGCCAATACATTTTGTGGAACATATTTCATACAAATGTCTAACTATAAATGTTCAATGTTACACCACAATCTTACCAGACTTAAACATGAAATGTCAGAGAAAAAACCCTTAGCAGTCACCTCATATTACTGTAGGTTTTTAACTTATTGCAAACATTATTTTGATGTGTACACACCAGGCGTTTTAGGGATGATTGGCCAATATAATACACACTAACCTGACTTACAGTGAAGTTAAAACAAAACAAGTTATATCTTGTATGGCAAGATCCACTGTTTTTCATGGTTTGATCAACCATTACATAAATACACAATACCAGAATGCATTAAATTACACAATACCTACTCTGAAAATACTATTCTGAATTTTCTATGTGACTTCTGGCTATTTGAAATTTTGTGTGTAGTTTGATTAAAAAATGTTAGGGAAAGGTGCACCACTAAGATAGTGGTGTTGGGGATTAGCTTCTATAACATTGGTGGATTGAATGTACGCCTACTGTGCTGTACCTTTAGTGTTAGAGCTGTGAAAACTATCAGAATATTTACCGTAAATGTTTTAAAACGAACTAAAACAAATAATCTTGTACGGCCTAATCTAAACTAACATTCTTTGAATATTTCTAGTTCATTTCGGTAAGGTTTTAAAGGAAATACGAAACACAATACCTTTCACTATATTTTACCAAACCACGAACTGCAGCTTGGGTAAGATCGAGGGACAAACACTGGGCAGATTAAGATACCATGTACAATTAAGAGCTACAAGAATACGCAGTAACTCCATTACCTCGTCTAATTTAACTTCGATTATGGTGACATACAGTGAATCCACAAAGCTCGACACACAGGCCTGACGCCATCGGCCCTGGCGCATGAAACATTAGCGAGTAAGTAAGCAGGTTAGCCAGACCACGACACCCACACCATACTATCACGTAAAACTACTTACCTCATTACAATCTGGCCGAAAGATGTGAAAGGATGACGCGCCACAGTTCTACTCCAAAGAAAATAGTCCAATACCACAATTCTCTAGCACTGGTGAGGGACAGGAGGTAAAAACTGAACAGACGCAGCGTCCATTTAACTACACAACAGACGTAAATATTACAGCATCACTTCGGTATATTAGATCATATCATAATTATCCAAAAATATTACATTTACCACACTGTATAGATATATATACAAAATATATTACATGAAAATTATCTTATTAACAACATTAGCATGATTCAAAGCCGAAATATTTTTATAACTCAATAAAATAAAGAGTTTTAATGATTGAATTCTCTATTATGTGACACAGAACTAGCCTCCATCCCCCCCACATGCAGATGAAGACCTGTACATATTTCACTTATCTCGGGTCTAAGTTAACAAGCAGAACAATTTAATTTCTGCCATCGAATGTTGCATAAGCTTAATATATATGATTGTATTCTTGTCTAGGCCATCATTGGTTCATCATGGTCAAGTATATTCACGAGGCTCCGTTCTTCACCAGGCCCAGTATGGAGGAGTTAACGCTACTACAGGCTACCCACCATACATCGTTTTCTCTGATGCTTCAGGACTCTACCCTTCACTGCAGATAGACCAGCTGTAAACTTTATTATGATACAGTACAGGGATACATTTGACTCTATATACAGAAAATAAATCAATAAACAGTGCTTATTTAAAATTATTTCCAACTGTGTGATAATAGTGTAACTCTTCATAATTTTATCATCTTGGTTTATAAAATCTACATACTGTAATTACATTGGTATAATAACATACATATTAATGAAGCTATTAAATTATAGAGAATTAGACAGTACAACAACATATAATAAAATAAGATCGTTGTCAGCATAAAAACATCCAATCATTATTCATTATAAATACATGGATTATACATTCGCAATATTGTTTTCATTCTTTATAAGTTCAAATAACATACAGACGAAAAATTATACACTGGACATAGATATACACAATAGTTTTTATGATACACAATCACTTTCACAAATACATGGTTATCGAAACACACTGAAACATCAATAATAATAATACCTTTCACATCTTTCCTACATAAGCAACATTATAACACTGAAAGTTTTAGAGAGTCCGTCCGCTAAGCTATCGTCAGTTAGAAAGTTACGTAAGAATCAGATATGTTTTTAATAATATGAGTACTTGAGTTTCATTGAATCACTAGGCTGACGGGCTCTCACCAACACATGTAAACTCTATAAATTGGTTCTGGATTCTCACTTGTTTTTGCAGTATATGGAAGGGGAAATATTTTTTATTCCAGTATTTTAATTCCTTTCGTCGACTTTTTCACTGGTTATGTAATTACTTTTTTTTCTTTTGAGTATTCTTCTGTTCTTGAGGCTTATTTGCTTCTTCTCCTCTTGAATTTTGTTTCTTTTATGTTATCTTGATTCTTCTTCGTGATGTCTTCAGTGCAGTCAGTCAGCCCTTCCATCTTTGGCACTGTGGAATCCACGACTTATAACCATCTGTGAATTCTTCCAGTGCCAAGGATATGTGGACGTCTTTTCTTCTTCGTCCTTTTTCCTTCGCTTTCGTCCGCATCGCTTTTCCTTCCCTTTTTATCGTTTCTCTTTCTCTTAATTACCTTCCTGCGACTTTTTTTTTATACTCGCGATTTCTTTATATTCTTTCATCTACGAACCTTTTGTTTTAATCGCTCTACGCTTCACCATTTCTTTATTTTGGAACACTGAATAAAAATGAGAAACACTTGAACAATATAGATTAGGATAAAAAAGACTCATGCAAGTAAACAGCATAATACAATCTGTAGATTATGTAGATATACGGAAATACAAATCGATTAATAATGAAAAATTAATAATTTCATATCAAGACCAACAGTAAAATTACATACATAAAATATAGCTATTGCGTATGTATATTATGAACCATACACAATTATCTTATATTGTAACTCATTCATAAATTAGCACATTTATTACGAAAGATTCATCGGAAATATAATATATAGATATATATAGTATAACTTATTGAGTGTATATTATAACATTGTAATCATGCAGTTGTATGCTTATATTACCTACAACAACAATCTTTACAACACTCACAGATACTTTTTTTATAATTATCACATAGAACAATTAGTTTCCATACCTTCTGTTATTAGGCGATTTCATATCACATTACTTATTTACAAATGCACCGCTTTCCCGCCTCCTCTCATTGTTCATCCGAAAGTTCCCTTTCTCAGAGCTCAAGAAGTAAACATTATATAATACAATACATGAATTACAGATGACATAAATATCGAGAAAAACATTAAAATTTAGATAAGCAAAACAATAAAATCACTGGAGAAATAATCGTTTACTCTGCAATGTCTCATAGAAAAATTACATTCTTGTATGATTAATCCTTGAGCGCCTAATCACGGGAAGCTCCCCTAGGGATCACTCGGTCGCATCTCCCTGCTATGGTCCAATTCGTCTTTATAAACGCCATAATTAAACACCAAATTCAGTTCCATTCATATTATACGCCAATTTTGATTTCGTTCGTAATTATACGCCAATTTCACCTCAATATACTTCGAAAATCAACAAACACAATAATGGCAATTCTCAATAAATCCACCAACCACTGTACCAAGTGGAACTGTACATTGTATCTCTACATATTGTACCACATATCTCGCTATATTGTACCAGATATCTCGCTGTATCGTTCCACATATTTCGTTATATTGCTCCACATATCTCGCTATATTGAACCATATATATCGCCATATTGTTTAATATAATTAGTCCCTTTGTTCCATATATCTCGCTATATTGTCTCACCTATCTCGCTATATCGTCTCACATATCTCGCTATATTGTTCCACATATCTCGCTATATTGTCTCACATATCTCGCTATATTGTCTCACATATCTCGCTATATTGTTCCACATATCTCGCTATATTGTCTCACGTCTCGCTATATTGTCTCACATATCTCGCTATATTGTCTCATATATCTCGCTTTATTGTTCCACATATCTCGCTATATTGTTCCACATATCTCGCTATATCGTCTCACATATCTCGCTATATTGTCTCACATATCTCGCTATATTGTTCCACGTATTTCGCTATATTGTTCCACATATCTCGCTATATTGTCTCACATATCTCGCTTTATTGTTCACATATCTCGCTATATTTCTCATATCTCGCTATATTGTTTCCACATATCTCGCTATATTGTTCCACATCTCGCTATATTGTCTCACGTCTCGCTATATTGTCTCACATATCTCTCGCTATATTGTCTCACATATCTCGCTATATTGTTCCACATATCTCGCTATATTGTCTCACATATCTCGCTATATTGTTCCACATATCTCGCTATATTGTTCCACATATCTCGCTATATTGTCTCACATATCTCGCTTTATTGTTACACATATCTCGCTATATTGTTCCACATATCTCGCTATATTGTCTCGCATATCTCGCTATATTGTCTCACATATCTCGCAATATTGTTCCACATATCTCGCTATATTGTCTCACATATCTCGCTATATTGTCTCACATATCTCGCTATATTGTCTCACATATCTCGCTATATTGTCTCACATATCTCGCTATATTGTTCCACATATTTCGTTATGTTTTTCCTTATATCTCGCTATATTCTCACATATCTCGCTATATTTTTCCACATAACACGCTATATTTTTCCTTATATCTCGCGATATTGTACCACATATCTCGCTATATTGTCTCACATATCTCGCTATATTGTTCCACATATCGCTATATTGTACCATATATCTCGCCATATTGTTCCATATATCTCGCTATATTGTTCCACACATTTCGTCCTATTTTTATATATATATCTCGCTATTTTATTCCACATCTTACTTAATTGTTCCATATATCTCCATTTTATACCATGTGTCCCAAGATACGCCATTTTGTACCATGTGTCACAAGTGAAATATAAAAGGAAAAAAAAAACAATTACAAGGAAAATTCAGTAAGAACACAGTCTTCACCAGGTTCCGTCGCCAAGGGCAGAATTCCCATTACAAATTACGTCATTTTCACAACAACCAAGATCCCCCCTACCACAAGTTGCGCTTTCCTGGTGTCGCGCCCCACAATTTCCTCTCATAGTTCGTAGTGCTGTTTCCTGTAGTCGTTCTGCCTCGCGATATACTGTACGTACCTTCAACCTCGCTACAACACTTCATTCAGTTCGCTACACCACTTTCAACCTCGCTACAACACTTCATTCAGTTCGCTACACCACTTTCAACCTCGCTACAACACTTCATTCAGTTCGCTACACCACTTTCAACCTCGCTACAACACTTCAATCAATTCGCTACACCACTTTCAACCTCGCTACAACACTTCATTCAGTTCAGTTCGTCAACCTCAGCTTCTAATACTAAGGCGCCTCCACAGTCTCCATCCTTCTTCTACCCCTCACCTCAACTCCCACCCTCACCTCAACTCCCTACCCTCACCCTCAACCCCCAGTGCCCTCACCTCAACCCCCCTACCCTCCCCTGCAAGACTTACCCTACCTGCCCTGCCTACCCTACCCTACCCTACCCTACCCTACCCTACCTTACTCCTACCTCAACCTCCCTTACCTTCCTCTAACCTCTCCCTTACCTCCCCCTACCTCGTTCCCTTCCTCCCACCTACCTTACGACAAATAACGAGACGCTCTCTTTGAAAAGCTGAATCCCCACAGAACCTTAAGTTTAATCAGCTTACTTATGTTACGATAGAGTTGGATTCTCAAAGCTTACGAATAAAATTTCCCTCTCCTCTAAATAATGACATGAGGAATTGTTCTTAACCGGTTATATGAGTATACAGCACAAAGATGGCCGTCATTATTACACCGAGACTTGACTGTAAATATGTGATTGTTTGAGATATTGGCGTCCACAGCTTCCGTCAATGTTTATCAAAATGTCAGCTATGTTTGTGGTGTCCGTGAGTCTCCCAGCAGCATGGGGGCTGTGCTGGTAGTCACGTACAGTCTGATGTGTGTGTGTGTGTGTACGCCTCAGTAAT